TGAACAGATATGAGAAGGCTTGTTTGGAAAAGGGGGAGAGTGGCATTTTTGGCTGGCTGGGCATGAGGCCGATTCTTTTGTTTTTGCACTCGTTGACCGCGGATTCCAATTATGCCACTTTCTTTTGGGCCTGCGTGCAGTTGATTGAAGCCTTTGCAAAGTGCCCAGGGTCGCGGCAGGTGGAATCTCTTCTTTTTATTACAGTTGACCGTATTCACAGCGCTGCAAAGCATATTCAAAATCAATTGAATCAGGCTGCGGAAACACCACGATTTTCTCTGCCCGCATTGCGGGAAGTGGGTAATACCATTCGCAGTGCGCTTGACTTTCTTTTGGTCCTTCTCCGTGTTCAGCTTGAATGCGAAAATGTGGCAATTGAAAGCGGCATGTTGGAGATTCCCCCTGTCATGGGCCGTATCTTTGACATTCTTAGCACATCTTCGTCTGACCTTCTGGAGGCCTGGGCGACACTGCTCGAGAAATTGGAGGACTGTAAGATGCGTGATTTGGTTCGGAAGTGTTGCCTTGGCGTGGTGCGGAACTTTTCTTTTCAGATTGAGGAGCTAATGAAAGTGTCGTCCAAGAAGGAGGACGATGAACCACTGAATGAAATTCTTGATACATGCTACCATTTCATTGACACATTTCTCAAGGGCGACGATGAATGACCGTTTTTGCTGCTGTTTGTGTGTTTTTGCCTTTGTATGTGTGTGTGTGTGTGAGTTTGTGTGTGTTTGTGTGTGTTTGTTTGTTTGTTTTTTTGTTTTCATGTGTGTATTTATTTTGGGATTTTTTTTCTTGTGTGCGACGTGACAGAGCCTCCTCTTCGGTGGGAGGTGGAAGAGCCCTACGGCTTACAATTGCCTTCTCCTTCTCTCGCTGTTGTTCTTTTTTTTTTTCTTTTATTGCAGTGGACGCGGCTCCGTGGGCGCAGGAAGTGAGGAATCAAAGGAACATCCAGAGTTTGAAACACACCAATAGCTGAAAATTGCTCGATGTGGAGATCTCTGCGCAAGCCGTACGTTTTGTTTAGCTGCTGCACTTCTTTCTGCGCGTCAGCATCAACATCGTCGGCACATGCAGGAGAAACGAAGGGAAATCGCTTTAGATCCCCGGCGAGCGCTGGCAGCAGCACGGGGGGTTCACAGCAGCGAGAGGCAAATCCATACAAGTCATGGGAGCACTTGAATCATAAGTGGCTTCTTATGATGTGCATCGGCTGTCTTGCGGGGGGGCTTGCCGCCGGCCAGGTTGTGGACGTGGACGATAATACACTGCGCCCGCCTTTTTTGAAAGAATCTGTGCTTGCAGACATTGCCAAAACGTTTGAGTTTCGTCCTGATTTGGCGGCCACAAGCATCCGCGTTGCCTTCATCCTTGCCGCCCGCCGCGCGGGGTTTGCTACAGACAACATTGATGAGTCTTGCGCTGTTGTCAGTGGCCTAGAGGACATTGCCGGCGTGCTGCGCCATCTTTCAACTGTGCACGGTCTTTCGACGGAAGACGCCGCGTCTCTTTTGGCGGTGGCTGCCGTAAAGTTTTTAAAGGGGCCCTGTGACGTCATTGAAAGCAACTGGCGGTGGGGGCGAAATGACACGGACACCACACTCCCGCGGAAGAACCAACTTGCCGAGGCTGACTCCGGCCTTATTGCGCTGCCGACCATTCTTGAGGGGCTCGGTGGCCTCACAGATGAGGAGAGCGTTGCCCTCATGGCGTGCCACGGCGTCGGGGAATTTCACGAGCACGTAAGCGGCATCGACGGCGTGTCACACATTGGTAGCCAGTACAAACTCAGCAACGACTATTACAAATTTCTGTTGGCGAATGAAAGGCGATTCTTTGAGCTGGAAGTGCCTCGGACAGAGGAAAACAAGGTCATTCAGCGCCTCCCAAAGGACTTCGTCTGTGTTTATGCACATGTGGGAAAGAAACAAAAAAAGCGGCAATGTGTCTTTAACCGACGCGAGGTGGAAGCCCTGCTACGCAATAAAAAATGGCGAAATTTAACAGAACGATACGCGACAGATGAAGCGGCGTGGGCGGCGGCGTTTCAGTCGGCTTTTACGAAAATGATAGAATGTCATTTTAAGCGCCTCCGACCGTACAACAAGCCTTCCGAGCAAATGCATACGGAATGATGGGGCGTGGCAAGAGGAGACGGTAGGCACCAAAAAGAGGGTGGGTGCTGATTTTGACCTTTCCGCTGAAAAGGGAAAATGACGTTCCATTGAACACTATGGCAGGGGGTACATATTAGTGTTTCTCTGAGCCTGTTGCTGCCTGGTGTTGGGCTGCGACGCAAATCTCCAAACTCTTTTTCTCTCTTTTCTTTTCTTCGTTTTTTTCTTTTTTCTTTTTTTTTTTGCATCCGTGCTTTGCCTGCATGTCTATTCGCACCGTTACTCCACAATGACGTTGAGATGCCAGGGCGTGAAGCGGTTCCACGCACGGGCAATGCAAATGAGCGGCGGAGGCCTGCGGGCGCCCCGTACGATATGGCCTTGACTTCCTCCCGGCAGAAGGCGATTGTTCAGAAACCAAACCAGTCGAAGCAGCCGCAGGAACCTTTAGCGGTTGCCCCCGCCTGTGAAACGTGTCTTGCATTATTGCAATCCTCTCAGAAGGTTCGCAATGCGTTGGAGGCTGTGCTGACGAATGCCAGGATGGTGTTTCTTGACGATACATTGCATCACCAAATGGACGATGAGCGGTGGGTGCGGGTGCTGCGGGCGATTGGCCAAGATAAATCGATGTATTACGCAAGGAAAGTGACAGTGAAGAACCCTCCACATTGACGTCAGATTTTGACGAATTGCGGATAGATCTATTGAAGGATAATGTGCCTTTTAATATGCTGTGCTGTAGATGAGGTTGAGATTTTTTTTTTTTTTGTGTGTGTTTGTATGTATGTGGACTTGCAATTAACGGCTTTTTTGCTGTTGGACTTACATTGTGACGTTTTCTTGTTGTTGTTTTTTTTTTTTTTTTTTTGTCTTTTTCTCTTCATGGACTTCTTGCCCTGCTTTTGAACCTTCTATCTTTTTTTTTCTTTTTTCTTTTTTTTTTTTTTTTTGATGAGGGAGACTGCGGGTGCGATACCGCCGATAGCAGAAATAAATTGAGAGAACCGTTTCTTTTTTAAGGCGCATATTGGCGGAACTGGGTTTTATTACTTCCCTCTCACCTACTCTCACACACACAAAGGGGCAGACGCTTATTTATCGGCGCAGGGGGAGGGGACGGATCATTAGAGGCATACACGTCTTTACATTCTTCGTGTTGCAAGGATGTCCGAGGCGTACGTGGAGAAAACGCAGACCGAGCTTGGCGCAATCATTTCTTCGCCCAAACTGACTGAAAAACTTCTCTTAAAACCCCCGTTTCGCTTTTTGCATGATATCGTGACAAGCTTCCTTAGCGCAACGGGGTTTCCGAAGGGGCTTTACCCCGACGCGTTGCTTGACAGCAGCAACGTGACGGAGAAGACAATAAAAATTGAGTTTTTGACGCAGTTGATTGCAGCCGTGGAGGCGGGGACGGGGAAGAAGGTGGCGGCGCAGCCAACAAAGATCGTCGCGGGGCAGGAGGCAGAGAAGACCAACGAGTTGCTGCAGCTCCTCGCTTCATGCGCTAAGCTCACGGCCGAGCAGAAGCACGCGGCGGTGCAAAAAGCAAAAGGGGGCGGCAGTGAACAGCCGGCGGCGGATAAAAAGGCGGCCGAGCAGGAGGCGAAAGAAAAGGAGAAGGAAAAAGAAGTGGAGCGGGAGCAAAAGGCTGAAGAGCGGCGTAAGCGGAAGGAAGAGGAGAAAAGGCGTGAGGAGGAGAAAAGGCGTGAAGAGGAGAAAAGGCGTGGAGAGGAGAAAAGGCGTGAAGAGGAGAAAAGGCGTGGAGAGGAGAAAAGGCGTGGAGAGGAGAAAAGGCGTGAGGAGGAGAGAAGACGTGAAGAAGAGGCCGCCGCAGCAGCGGAAGAAGGGAAAAAGAAGAGGAGGAAGGAAGATGAAAGTCTCCCAGTGGGTGAGTCACCCAAAGTAGAGCAACAACGACAGGAGGCGGCCAATGCGTCTGGGAAACAACAAAAAAGCGGTGAGCCCCATGGAAGCCATAATGAAGAAAAAGAGGGCAAAAAGAAGCATGGAGAAACTTTGGAGGAAAGGACACAAAAGACGGGTGATGAGGAACGTCGCAAACGGCATGAGGAACGGCGGCGTCGCGAGAAGGAAGCTGCAGAGAGGGAAGAAATTCCAACGGCCGACGAAAGTTTGACGACGGTCACACGTGCCCCGCGCGTAGAACAGCGCGTTGCGTCTACTGCTCCTACTCCTAATGCTGCTGCCTCGGCCGCAGGGAAGGCGCCACCGCGCACGAAACCGACGCATGAAGTTGTGGACGGATCTCAGTTGGATGCCGTGCCAGTCTCTGGCGTTATTCGTGAGAAAAAACGCACGCCAGGTGGGAAAGCACAGGAAGCAGAGGATGAAAGTGAATGGATGCGAGTTGCTGAACAACAGAATGCGAAAACGGTAACAAGTGGCAGTGGTGACGGTGGAGGTGTAAACGAAGCGGAGGCGAAGGGTTACTTGGGGCAACAAGCGTTGAAGGCAAAAAGAGAGCAGGAGGAGGAGACTGCACGCCGCGCACAGGAGGCAAACGCACGTGCCCTTCAAGGCGGGAGCAGTGGCGGCGGTATCATTATCCACAGTTCAAAAGGCGGCAAATCCGGCGCGGCGGTGGCAGAGAGTGAGCTTAGCAAGCTGCGAGAGCAACTGCAGCTCCTCACAAAGGCCTCCAATCCACTTGGTAAACTGTTGGAGGCAATCTTTGACGACATAGATACCATGGCAAGGGAGCTGGAGATGTGGCGCTCTGAGGCGCGAAGTCAGGCACTCGCCGCAGCGGATGCCAGGCGAGAGACGATGGAAAGTCTGCAGGAAGTAAACGCCCAACTTCAGAACTTGGAGGATGCGATTAACGACCAAATTCTCAAAACACACAACATTCGCCGAAGTGTCATTAATAACGGTAACGCCATTGCTGGAATGGTCCGCATGATTGTTAGTCCTGAAATTGGAAAGCGTTAGAGGGGCCGTTTTATCCTACCCATGTAGAGACGAAGGAGAGTGAGTGAGCGTGTGTGTGTGTGTGTGCGTTTGAGGGGGAGGGAGGAATTTGCAAGAAAAGGGGACCGGAAAAAGGGTGCCCAAAGCAAAGAAAGAAGAGCAAATCGATAAAAAAGAAGTTAGAGCCTTTCTAGGTCTCCGTTTGTATTTTTGCCATATTTTTTTTGTGTTTTTTATTGTTTGTTTTTGTTTTACCGTGGAGTGCCGTTTCCTTCTCTTTTTCTTTTCTTCCCCAGCTATCTGGTCTTCCCTCTCCCCCGCAAGCAGCAAGCATGCGTGGGTGCCTTTGACACTTCTCTCTTCCACACTTTTTACCATATGTCTCATGTGCCGCGCTCGTTATCCGTTCTCTCTGTACTTCTGCTTCTCACTGACCGAGACACGGAAAGGAATACGTGCATACAACTCATCTTGTGTAAATTCTCTGCTTCTTTTCTTTTTTTTTTTTTCTTTGTGTCAGATTTCTTTTTTCCTGCCATCCTGAGCGTGGGTGTGTTGCTGGGGGTTGGGGGTAGGGTGGGGAAGTCTGCAACAAACAAATCCGGGAGTAGCACAGAGAAGGAAAATTAAATTAGGAGCGGCAAAAGACTTCAAAAAAAAAAAAAAAAAGAATTTGTCATAAGGACGGGCAGTTGTGGAGGGAAGAAGTCTGCGAGGGGTAAGAAGGGAAGGGGAATAACTAATCACTCATTTATTTTTGTTGTTGTGCGTACGTGCGTGAGTCTGTGAGTCGGTTCGTCGCCGCCCTTTGGCGCACAATAGCACCCTGTACCTTCGACACAGATACACACACATTTCGAGGGAGGCCGGAGCAGGGTAAATATTTGGATGGAGAACTACATTCAAATACGTGTGTTGGGCAAAGGGAGCTTTGGCTCCGCCTGGCTCGTGCAACGGCGTAGTGACAAGGCGCAATTTGTTGCGAAGGAAGTGCGACTGGGTGGCATGAAACCGGCGGAGCGGGAGAGCGCAAAGCACGAGATTGAAGTGCTGCGAACCCTAAATCACCCCAACATCACCCGTTATGTGGACCATTATGAAAAAAACGGCTCACTTTACATTGTGATGGAGTACGCCAACGGGGGCGATCTTTACACAAAAATTAGGTCCCGCAAGGGAATGCGTTTTAGGGAAAAGGGGATTT